GTTGGTGTTGGTGTTGGTGTTGGTGTCTCGTCGGGTTGACATTCATACTAATATGATGCAGATTTCGCCCTAGGGGCTCTGATATGCGATGTCTTAGAGGCTTGAGCAATGCTTGAGCTCACCCAAACGCTCACCCATATCCTCAACTGTCATCATCATTTCCAACCACATTCTCATACTCTATAGCTAACCTACCCTTCCACCACGCATGCACACGCTGCCCACACTGCCCGCACGTACACGTGTAACTCGAGTAGTCCAAGTCTACCCAGTCCCCCCCTCCAGTCGCACAACGCAAATTACAATTATTAAACTGCGCCACTGCGTTCCATTGTATTGGTATCTGTTTGCTTGTCTGTGTGTTTGTGTCCACGTCCTTGTCTGTGCCTGTGTCTGTGCCTGTGTCTGTGCCTCTGGCTGTTTCCGTACTTGTACCGATATTTTGTGCTGGGGCTGGGGGGGTTTGGATCTGCTGGTTTGGGAAGGAGCAAACCTTTTTTTTCCGGTCAAGATGTTTTTTGGGAGCGGGTGGGGGGCGGGAGGAAGTTGGTTTGTTTTGGGTGTGAGTGAGTTGGGATTGAGGTGGTCAGTTGAGGTTGAGGGTGACGATGAGGGTGAGGTCAAGCTCGCTTGTTCAACGCCTGCGTACGACGCCTTTGGTACTGGTTCAGGAGTGAGTGGAATTTGGGTCGTGTGAGAAGGCTGGCTGGATGACGGTGAGAGTGAGTCTGCGGGGAGAGGTTACAAATACGGCGACGAGTGCGAGGACGTGTACCGGTATGCGTTGGGTGGACGGTTTGATTGGATTCGAGTATCGACCAGCAACGGTCCTGGTACCGTACACCACCAACCACGATCAAGACACTGCCACTCACACTCCCCGTCCTCTTGCTATCGTGCCTCACAATCGCCCTGCGCAGTCTCTTCTGCAACGGCTGCAGGATACCTGGACTGCCCTTTTGCATCGTCAGTCCCACTCCCACTCCCACTCCCACTCCTTTCTTCTCCCCCTTCTTACCACGCCACACGAGCTCACCCCCGCCATCCAGGACACCTGTCTTGGCGGCCATATTCACGCCGCCACCTCTCCCGACTCACCCACAGAAATCGGCATACTTGGGAAAATCGGCATCTACTTTGGGGAGTTTGGCCGGTGTTTGCTTGCCATGTGCACGGAGGGTGGGACGAGGAGTCGTAAGTTGCAACGGCGGATTTTATAGTCTGGGGCATGCTGATAGTAACTCGTTGTAGGCTTCTTGGAGCTGCTGAAGAGTAATTGCAAGGCGGTGAGTTCGGATACCGCGTCCTTTGCTAGGAACATGCCCAGAGGGATCTGGGAGGCGGCCATGGTGAGGAGTTTGGCGAAGAGTGCTACTATGACGAGTACAAGGAATGAGGAGCCTATGCCGGTGTCGGGTGATGAGACAAGCGTGATTAGTACAGCCATTGCTCCATTGCCCACTAGGACTTCCTCTCGTACGGCAACTTCACCGCGTACCTCCACTACGGCATCTGACGATATGACATCTGAATTTTCGTATCCTACACCGACGGCAACGACTGCTACAGATACCACCACCTCGATCTCGTCCAACCACGGGCCACCTCAAACTACCCTCCTCTCTACTACTACCACAGTCATAAGCACCGCCCCACTCCCCTCCACCTCCACACCACTTATACCCTCGACCGCCGCCGCACCAT